CAGCCATCTTGACCGAACAAGCTTGGTCAATAACCCATATGTCCGATAACAACTTGGCAAGTGAATTAGTGGAAAATAGGAGTTTTTTAAACCAATTACAATCGAGGAAATTGTGATTTTTATGATTACTAAGGGTAATCATGTCAAGTTCGGGCGCTTTGTGTTACTTGCCGTCAGTGAAGAAGCAAAAACATGACTTCGGCTTCGGCTTCGGCTTCGGCTGATAACCCCTTCCTCGACCTTGATTATTCTGGATAACACAAAAACCTCACTCAATAATTGTTTATAAACACGCAAAGAAATTGTTTCGATCATAGGCTACGGTTATATATTGAGATTAAAACTTCATTAAGGTCATTAGTCCAGGATGGGGAAAAAAGAAACAAACCAAGGTGGGGAAAACAAGATCTGCCCCAAAACACGGCTTCCAACTCCTGTGGAGAGACACGGCACGGTCACCCTCGGACGTCTTCACTCCGTGTTTTCAGGTTTGCATTTCGAGCCAGTTTTCTCTTGCATTCCCATACCATATTGTTGTCCCATGGAAAAGTAAGCTGTACCAGCAGAACTGCTTGGCCAAGAACTGCTGGGGGCTTCTGGGTGTTAGGGGATTTTCCTGACTGGATCGATCTGGCTTCAAAAGCCAATGACTCTTCGTCATTCAGCTTATTTTTCAAAACAATTTGTTGACTGCATGGCAGATACATCAAGCCTCTATGATGCCTTCCAGCCACCGGAGAACTATCGCTTCATAGCAACAGAGTGGAACTTAGTGAGGTAGCAGAGATGTGCCAGCTTTCTAATCAGTCTGCTTTTTGATGTCTTTGATTCTTTTACGACTTCTTGCAAACTGTCTCCTAACCACTAGGTTCTTTCCACCGACATTCTGATCGACTCAGGCTCGATAACAGGGGCCAGAACCACAAAAAACCCTGTTTTTTTCCCGAAAGGTGCATTGGATAGTGACTTTTCATACACAGGGAAGATGTGGTTTACAGGAGCAGACCTTGTCTGAACGCATATACATGCCCTCGATTCCCTTATATTCGAACAGTACACGCTTAGAAGGGTTGGCAGAATGTCTTACACGGATCGGAATGCAAGAGCCTAAGCACTGATCTTGAGAGGTTCCTTTGGCGCCATGGACCATAAGACCACTAGATCTCCCTATCCTCGACAGCTTTCGATGTGGTCCAAGCGCCGTGTTGTGGGTGGCTCACTGCAACATCAAATCGCTAATCCCTCCACTATCTTCCTAATAGGGTCTCTTCTCACCCTGCCCGACAGTCCCGCCTTTCCCTCCTCCCCGGATGGCCAGTCTGCCTCGCCCCCTCCCCCGCCTTCCTCGCCTGTCCTGTTTGCCCCACAGACAATTCCTAGAACACAAACTGCTCATCCAGCACGGTCCCCTTCACTCCTCCTGATCAGGTCCAACCATCTGCTCCTGCCTAAAAAGCATCTAGTAATCCCTACGGCTTCTGTCACTACCCACCGTGCCCCACCTAGGTTGGTACACCACGTCTCACGGAATTGGTGACAGGATTACCCCAGTCCCTAATGTCCCGTAAAGCCTTGCTTTGGCGACCTTCCACTACTCTATAAGTGAATTTGTCCAAAGTTGGAGATAAGCTGTGGAGATGTAGAGATGCGACCTCGTCAAGGTCTCTGATACACATAGCCACCTCGATCCTGAGGTAACTGCCAATGCTGCTGGCCCAATGCTACGTTTCGGCATAACCTTTATCCTAGTGCATGGCTGGGAACCAAGCCAGACTGAAAGTACTTAACCACAAGGCCACACTTGACTCTTGTTTGAGGTCCCGGCCGTCCATCTGCTTCCGAATATAAACACGTGCAGTACTTGTGCTACAGTGCAGAGAATAACATCTGCCAAGATGTTATAGTACTGTTGGGATTCTAACCCCCGGAAGGATGGGAATTTTCTGCTTTGATCCTTCACTTAGCGTGCGAGCAGTCTCACGTTTGAGTCGCGCGCGAGCGGCGAAGAGCAAAGTGATCCGGCGGTAAGGAATCTGGTGAAGAGGTGCCAAGAAAGTGCTCCAACGTGAGCCTGCTCGCAGGCTATCCTTCACTAAAGCCTGGTTCTCATATGCCGCCGACATACCCGCCGGCACGGCCTGGGACACCGTTACGGCATATGTGAACATTTATCGCCGAATCATAATCTATCCCAGTAATTCGCGCAAATTTGAGTATGTCGGCGATCCATCGCAGATGCGCCAGGGACCCACCGGAACAGATCGCCGAACATTTTCAGTTGCGACTGGCGGCTACGTCGCAGGTAGGTCGGCGGGATATGAAAACCAGGCTTAGGACAGACTAGATTCACCATCTTTGTGAGCTGTCATCTTCGTAGGGGCCCTCAGATGTCCATCAGCAGCCTCCACACCCTGAGTAAACTTCTGACTCCATCTCCATGGCCATAACACAGGTTGTACAGCCTACTGGTGACATGGGTATACAGTGCTCCAGGGACTGCCACCTCGTATAAGATTGAGCATAGTTAGTAGTCCTCTCTACTAACTGTGGATTGAGTGATACACACAGATGTTGAAACACCCGTCTGAAACGTGTCATGGTACCAAATGATGAAAAAGTCTATCATCCCTGGAATAGAAGAAGTCTGAAGAATCCTCAAGCTTTACAATCAGCTTGGAAAATCTCAAACTTCGGCCTTGCCGTATTGACCGAGTGACAGGCTTCCACCCCGTCCTTGCATACGGTGGCTGCGCCCGCAGTACGAGCGGCAGTCAAAACTTAGCTGTCCTACCTAACGACACGATACTAGTCTTTTTCTTCACAGCTATTAAACAAAAAATAAAGACAATTCCAAGTTGCTTTGGCTTCTTCTAATATTCAACTCAATAATTCTGGGTTTAATTTGACGAGAAACAGCACGTTTTGTTCAAAATGTCGAAAAAGGGCACAACTATTACCCTACCTGGCGACAGCGATCGAAGAACGAGTTGCCGAGCGCAGGCGAGGTAGGATACACAAAATGTCTCATATTTTTCACTCTTGATAATTCGATATGGCTTTTGAAGTAAAAAAAAAATCCTTTTTCGACTTCAAGTATAATGCATTTGACATAATTTCAGTAGAGTATTCCCCGCATGCAGAATTTCGATTGGTTAATTCAAATTCCAGGCTCGCCGGCCGTATGCAAGGCTAGAGGTACCAATTCTAAAACAACACTTTATCTCCCGTCATCTATTTTTCGGCTCAATAGACCACTTTAGCTTGGGCGGTTTGTTTTCCTATTGTAGACCAGGTGATATTCTCTAGAAAATTTTTCTTTTATCCATCTTAAAATTATCCATTTATAAACATGCGACTATTTAAAAATTTGAATGTAAGAATTCTCAAGAGTATCATCACGTGGTCTGCAATGGGAAAACAAACCGCCCAAGCTGAAGAGGTCTATACCGTGAAAGGTACCCCGAAAGAGCCCGCTGTGGACCTTTTGAGGCTGAACGCCCCAACAGTTACCAAATCCACTTTTTAACCCCTAAAAGGCACCACGAACACCACCCGTCCTATTATTTGAGTCCCCCTCGGGGGGAGGGGTGAGGACAGCGAAAAACGGAACCTTTTGAAAACGCTACCGTCTTTGTGGTAAAACGAATCAGCCTTTTCAGCCGTTTCAGCGAGGACGGGGAAACGCTCCGAAAACTGTAGCTAGTACATAGGGCCTGTTTACTGAGGCGATTTTTGTCGAAACTTCCTCTGCGAATTTTAAGCCTGATATCGCGGGAGGTTTCGCACTGAGGACAAAAACGACTCCATCCTTGTTCGTAAATCGTGCGCACATTCTCGAGTGCAAAAACCTCTGTTCATTTTATAACGTTTCATAGACCCGCGCGGCTAGTTGCAGTGAGAGAACGACAAAAATCGCAGTGGAAATGACCACAGAATTGCAGCAAAAATCATCCGTGAAAATAGGCCTTACTACAGGTCAGTAAATAAACATAAAACCCAACCCATGGGTCCTCAGCTGGAGTAAGACACTACACTTAAACGAATTTCTTTTATTTTGGCTAACTTGGCATAGATTACAGCCCAGTTCTCAAATAGCGGAAATGAACAACAAGAATGATGATGATGATGATGATGATGATGATGATGATGATGATGATGATGATGATGATGATGATGACAATAAAGCAATACTGTCCTTTAGATACCAGAGTTAGTTACCAGGAATTTGTGTTATACATTTCAGGGGTGGGGAACTCGACTTGTAAGGGGGGTTCCTTCCTGTTTCAAGGCCTTGTTGGAACTTGTTTGTCTGTTTGCCTGTTATTAAATAGCCCATTTCTGAATTACCCTTAGCCTCTTTGTCAAAGTGGGTCTTGGTACCCATCCTTTTAAATGAAAATGAGAATGGTTGTGCACCTGGCCTTACGTCACCAGAGGGGCTGCGGGCAACTCGGAAGTGGGCTATTGCAGTTTTACCAGAGAAAGTATTCAAGTAACTAATTTAGATTTTTTTTTCAAAATAATTTCAAATAAACCTTGTGTTTTGAGTTCAACTGATTTTGATGTTATTTACATGATGGTTTCATGAATTGCACACAGTCCTATAACCAATAAAAAGTTATTGCAAGCAACAGAGTCTCAAAACAATGTTTTAACTAGGCCTAAATAAGCAGTAAGTGCTGTATACTATTAGCAGTGGTCACATCTTTGGAAAGGTGCCATTCTCTGTTAAAATTATACAAAACAAATTAACTAACATGAATATATGTAGATATAAATGCTTGCACACATATCGCAAATTTTTGCAAGTAACATCACTTTTTTAAATTTGTGGTTAGGCAAAATATATCCACTCCAAAGAAGGTCAGCAGAAATTCTGTGGGGTAGGAGGCTTTCAAGAGCCAAAGGGAGGGATTTGGAAGGAGGGAGGACCAGAAAAATACACAGAGGTATGCATATTTTCTGGAAACCCACATAGCCTGTTTGAAACCTTCTCCATTATTAATCAAAATAGTTGATAAATTTGTGTTAAAAAACCACAAGATGTTACTGCTTTGCATTCAGGAAACTGCATGGCAAGTTTGGGGCACTAACGAGAACAAAAAGAAGAGTCCAAACGCTTGTGTTCATTTGGCCTGAAACCTGCATGCCCTCTCTTCAACTCTCATGCAACCTCAACAGATTTGAGCCTGCCCAAGTTTTCTTAACAGCCTTCAAGATGTCTTCCAGGATCTCAGTAAATCAAATGTCCATTTTAAACATATTTATCTTTGGCAATCTCCTCAGTTAGGTCTGTGGGTGAATACTCTTCCATCATTTCATCCTCCACATTCTCTAATGACCACTCGTGTGAGACAATCTCTAGAGCCTCCCATTCTGCCTGTGATCAAACATTAGGATATATTGGCTTAGCACTGCAACAGGAACTTGGAAGATGAGCTGGTCCAATGGACCATATGCAAATTCTCAGTATTCTAAGTTCACATGATATGCCATTTTATTATCCAACTGCAGCAAATACAGCAAATACTGTCCAAAATATATTGGCTTAGCACTGCAACAGGAACTTGGAAGATGAGCTGGTCCAATGGACCATATTCAAATTCTCAGTATTCTAAGTTCACACGATATGCCTTTTTATTATCCAACTGCAGCAAATACTAACCAAATAACAGTACAAATATACAGCGATATTGTACAGTTATTTGTGCATTGGGAAACCTGTTTGCCGCACAAGTCAGGGCGCAAATGCAAAACTGTCACACTCTCCCTCTTTCATTGATAAATTCATTGATTTCAGCAGTTGGATAATAAATCTCTTATTAGATGTTTTGGTGTGTAGTATCGCTTTATATTTTTACTTGTTGTTTGTATTTTGACTTGCCCTATGGGCTCGTCAAAATATGGCACAACTCGTAAAAATATACAGCGATACTACACACCAAGACATCTAATAAGATAAATGAACTCAAAGAGCATGATCCATATCATTAATTTTTTGGAATTAGTGGCTATTTTCTACCTTGAATGCCTTGCTTGGATCTTGTGGCATCTGCATTTGCATCTGCATCTGTTCTTGCATCACACGGGTCTGGTCTGCAGCTAATAATTGCAAAATAAATAAATAAATAAATAAATAAGTAAATAAATAAATAAATAAATAAATAAATAAATAAAAACAGTCCATAAAGGGAAACAAAAGGATATTTCAAACTTGGGCAGTGTGATAGATATAAAATGGACATGCCATGAGTGACAAAACTGTTGCGACACTTAGAGTAAAATTCAATTTTTGAGCCCCTTGGAAACAATAACTTTTGGTATTTTGAAAAACTGGTTGCTTACGAGAGGTGGTCGCAACCGGAGGTTAGACTGTACACTACATGTTATTATGTCACTCTTAGTNCCCCCCAAACAATGTTGATTTTTCTACTTCTAAGACTGTGCAGACCACAGCAGCTACACAATATTAAATTGGGAGACCAACTGGGGGTATCAGAGAATTACCTCCTAGTAGATGCTTTAAAAATATAACAAGGAGTTACATATCGCAAAGGCTCATTTTCTAGAAGTGTCTCAACTACTTTTGTCACTCGTTGTAGTCTAATGACATATACACATTGTCTTGAAGTTGACAGGGTCAGTGTGAAACACAATTTTGAATTTTTATTACTCACATAGTCTACATAGCTGACAGTCTCAAATGTTGTGTAATAGAGAATGTCAGTTTTACAGGAAAAACACAAGAGGATTACATTATAGATTAGGCCAAGAATGGTTATGGTCCAGTCACAGATGGACAGACAGATAGACAGATAGACAGACAGACAGGTCCTTCGTCAGTCAGTTGGCCAGTTAATCTGTCTGTCAATCTGTCTGCATATAAGTCAGTATACCAGGCAGAATTTCAGAAGTCAGAAAGTCCATAAGTTGAACAAACAGTAAGTGAGATAAACTGTAAAATTACTGGACAGAAATAAAAGAAGCACAAACCATTATCTTGACCCAGAACAAGTGCATACATGCTCCTGAGACCAAACACGTTGATAAAATACCAAGACACCGAACTAACCCTGGAAAACAAGAAACAGCCATAACTTCTTCACTCTCAGTCCTGAATAATAACTTTTGTCCCCTTACTGATAGCCATGCATGGAGATGAACATTTGGTTTGATAATTTGGTGCTATATCAAGATAGTATTTCCTGGTGTATGCCTAGTAGTGGAATGGTACTGCAATGACAAACGTTCAAGCCAATCATTCTGATTGTTGTTTAAGACTTGATCTTGCCAGCTGATCCACTCTGATTGTTGTTAAGGGAGCAGGGATGGTGCAGTGGTGAGAGCGCTTGCCTCCCACCGACGTTGCCTGGGTTTGATTCCAGCACGACGCCATATGTGGGTTGAGTTTGTTGTTGGTTCTTGCCTCCCTCCAAGGGTTTTTCTTCAGGTTCTCCAGTTTTCCTCCCTCCACAAAAACCAACATCTCCAAATTCTAATTCGACCAGGATATAGGACCCGCATAAAAACCAGCTAAGACTGATGTGGTTTTCTCTCTAAATTTTGTGATTTACTTTGTTTATTTATTTTGACTACCCCTTGTGGAAAAACTAAGTCACAAGTTAAATACAGCTCAAGCCCTCAACATCAAAACTTTCTTAGTGCATTGCATTGTTGCTGCTTACAAGTGATTTTTGTTATCTAAAGATCTACTGTATGCATCTGTCTATAAGTTTGGGTGCAAATGTCTGTATGGAAAAGTTACAAATGATAATGTTCTATATGTACATAGTTTACCATGATGCATCCAAGGTGGTCAAATCAATTCCACGCTGCAACATGGCTTTAAAACGCAGTGTCAGTGGGAATGGAACTTTAGCTGTGAAGTGAAGCAAAGGCGAATGTAAGGGAAGTAATGTCAGAGAAACTAAACAGTTTAAGATATAAGTCACAAACAAAATTGAATGGTCAGGAATACTGTTGTATAGTTTGTTTTTCAAGAAACATTAATCATTTTAAGTACAAGTGTATCATAAGCAAACCACACATGTGGATTACACCACAGTTCAAATTTATCCTTGCGAATACCTCCAAAATACAGAGACCTAGATATAGTACAGAAAAACCAGTGGTCATAAAAGCTCTACTTTTATAATACAGATGCCACAGTAACATAGACATTCAGCTCTAGTCCCTTCTCATTTATGAGACTTTCCTGTACCAACACTTTGCCATCTCTTGTCAAGCTTTCTCTCAACACCAAACACTNGTTTGTTTATAAATGTTCAGTAGAACTCTTTGGCTAAGAAAGGGCGCGATCCTGTTTAACATTTTGAGTTTAGGATAAACTCTGGATGCAATATACGTAATGTGCTTATTCCAGGTTAGGCAACTATCCATATATACACCTAAATATTTGCAATGTTCACTTTGTTTCAACAGCTTTCCGTCTAGTTTCATTATGCAAACTTACTATGTTTTGTGGGTTTGAAAAGAGGGAAAGTCGGCAATCTCCTACATGAAGATTTCTATTATTAAGGTTTCATCAGAGGACATATCAAATAATACTCTGTGTACTTTTAACTGTTTTGTCTAAATGACAAACCTGATATAGGATTTTTGACTGGTCCTTTTTTGTCCTGTGTTTTAAAATAGCCCTGTTCTTCATCATTGAAAAAATGTCGCCTTGCCTCAAAAGCCTAGGTTGGGATTAAAGACACAACTTTGTCAAGTTAGAAAACTCAAAAAAAAAAAAAAACAGGCATCAGTAGATTGTATTGAAACCTCGCAAGTTAATTACCTCTTTAGGAATATATTTTGCATTTTCTCTAAGACTTCTGCTCCTCATCAAAGCTTGACTGTAAATCGAATCAAATATTATTATTGAAATAATTAGTTTCTGGGCAAACTTAAGGTCAACAACCTTCTGAATAGAGTTGAAACTAAAGGAAAGAATTATCAAGAACAAGATGCTTGATTGAAAATGGGCAAAACTACTGTTTATTTTACAAAGTAAGGTAATTTGCTTTAGCTAGCTTTTCACTTGAAAAGCTCAAGCAGTTTCTTGTTTCTAAAGATTCGTAAAAAACACTCACCTATCTGAGACTTGTGAAAGATCTAATTCCTTTTTAGACTGTAAAAGCATGGAAAGATAATGTCTGATTATTCCAACAAGAAACGTGATGATTACAATGGGTAAAATAACCCATAAACGAATGGCCGGGTCAAGCAGAAGTTCCGCCATAATGGAAGAGAAGCCTCTAGCTTTCTATGTCTTCTGGGTAATTTGGCCTTTCACATGAAAACTGGGAACCAGATTATGTCGGAGTATGTCATATGGAAGAAGATGGAAGACAGATGAAAGGGTCTTACATGACGTGAACACGCGAAGCTTCGAAGTTTGAAGGACGTGTTCATTTAGTTTTCCAGTGAATCGATTTGCGATATCTCGTTTATTTAGAAATACAAGGTGTTAATTGCTTCCGAGTGAGTCGCTAAGCTGTGGATTAAACCTTTAACCACGGTAGTATGCAAACAACACACAATTTGAGTCGCTTCCGTAGGTTCGTATCAAAATATCAATGTAGAAATATTTGACCACAAGCTAGACGGACGCGCGTCTATCGACACCAATATCGGTAATCTGCGGTAATTAACTCTAGAGAAGGGAGGAAGTCTGCCAATAGCAATCACAGACTTCCTCATGGATCCCAGCTCTGTAAACGAGGTAGGTTTTCTTGCTTGAAAACAAATGTAGGCGTATAAGCGTAAGATTATATCCATGTGTTATTGACCAAGCGCGAGGTCAATGCAAGATGGTTGGATATTGGCCCGAGAAACAGTCGGGGCCTTTCAACGTACTACAAGATCGAGGCTGAGATCCAGCCATCTTGATTAAGTTTGGCCAAAGGAGGATTTTTATATAGATTTATTGTATGGCATTCTTGTAGATTTATCGTTTGATTTTCTTGCAGGATTTTTGTACGCGATCCTGAGATTCTGATAGGGCATGATAGTCCTATCTTGTCCTCTCAGGTTGCTGATCACAGCGCAAGATTAGATTCATCTTGCCCGCTGTGTAAGAGCTTTATCTTAATTTAAGTTTTATTTTTACCACTGTTTTTAGCACACGGTATTAAGGTGTTAAGTATTAAGGTCGTTTTTTAAACTCTTTAGACAAGAAACTGTCATTGATTGGAACATATATAATCACAGTTAATCCTTGTAACTTAATATAGCCCTTGATGTTTGAAATGTTCAGTTCCCTTTTGCTATTTGCCTCTTTCATTTCTTTGATCCCCGAGGTATTCTGTGGGAGTTTCAAAAGACTGTTGGGAATATAAAGATGAAAACAATAGCGATAGTGTTTGTATATATCTGAGTGAATTCACAAGAACATGCCCGCTAGGTTTTCGCCTGGATTAGGGCTTCAAGGCTAAGCCAGCAACCTTAAACCCAGAGGGGGCTCTGTCAAGGCTAGGCTAGGCTGGGCACATGGCCCAATGACTTGCCTATCTGCTGGTGGCTTGCTAGGGGCCAGCTGTCAAAAGCAGGGGGGAGGGGAGGGTGCCTTTTACTGACACCCCTAATTAGCTGTTTTAAGTGTTAAATAAGCTTGATATTGACTGTGTTTCTGGGTATTTTACTCAGTTGTTTGACCTTGTTTGAGGCCTCTGTGTTGACATGGCACCCTGCTGGAGGGGTCCATGCCACATGCATGCGTGAAGGACCAATCTCCTAGCCAGGGGGGTGGTCAGAGGACTTCTGGCCGCTGAGACTGTCTTTGAGTCAATGTGGGCATGTTTTTGCGAATTCAGTTAGACATATAGAAACACAGTCGATATCAAGCTTATTTGACACTGAAAACTCAAGGTCTAGCTACAACCTTCGTCACAAGGGTTGGAAAAAATCATTCTATACACATTTTGCCCCTCTCCACCCCTGAGCAATGTTGGCAAAACACTTTCATCTAACACAAGTTTGCATTTTACCATTTTCCAACATTGAATGGGGGAATGGGGTTGTNGTTTTTGTTTCAAAAGCAGCTCAATGACTATGACAAACTCTACCTGTTGATGTTCAAATGGAGGATCATCAGGTTGTTCAACCCCTTGTGTTATGCTGCCGGTGTGAAAAGTGTCACAGATCTAGAGCAACAACTTTTGACAAACATGGACCATGTGAAGAAAAAGCTGCCAAGCTGGGCACAATCTCCATCATTTGATGAAGATTTGAAAAGCATTCAAAATATGATCGCAGATTCAAAGACTGTGAAATATGAGGACTTGCCAGAACTCCTTGTAAGTCACTAACTGTTGTAAATTTGAATAACTTACTATGATCAGTTTGTGCAAGCAGGCATTCAACAACAGTGCAACCTCAGGTTTATGGATTTGGATTACACAGACAACTTGGAGATAGCAAACAAAACTTGTCCTGACTTTTCCAAACTCAGAGATACAACACGTGTTTACTTCTAGTAAACACATGTTTTGGTCTTGATAGCATGACAAAGAGGCAGAGCAAAAGTATGAAATATTTCTGTTGAAAAATGCAATTGTCTAGTGTTCGTTCAGGTGAAGGTGGTTCTGAAAAGAACTGGTGAATGATGTTGTGACAGTCTCAACCAGAGTCAGATCTAGACATCTTCAGCTGTGACTCTCAGGTTGTCAAAATGTCAGTCAATAACTACAGCAAATCTTTTTGGTACTAACCTCACCCAGATGATCGCAACAGACCATTACTATACTGATAGTCCATTTCCCTGGTGTTTTCATCGCTGACAGTTTATATTAATAACATCTGTCAAACTCGCTTTTTAGGAGATCCAGAAAAATAACTATAAGGAGGAGTTGGAAGCTGCAGGTGTTTCGATGATACAGAAGGATTGTGTTTCACTACAAACTAAAATAGCTCTTGGTCGTCCCTACTCTGGTGATGTGTATAATGCCCAGTTGACTCAAGGTCACAATAAGGTAGACTGTGAAATAAGTCTATTTATTATATGGCTAGCTTGGTGAAAAGGCAAGGTGAACCAAATCCTGCACTGTGATTGGCTACTGGAGTGGGCGAGGTTGGTGCTGTCATGACCGCTTGGGACTACCCACTGTGTCCCACAAGAAAAATTTTCCAAAAGCCATATTATAAATCCTTTAATTGTTCGGTCAAGATGGCTTGATATTGGCAATGTTCTTTTTCCCCTAATCAGAAAGCGAAGGAAAAAAAAAATGAAAAAAGATTCTGAATATTATGGCGGGAGTAAAAGCAAACACTCTGGATAGGTGCCTCAATGTAATTACATTGCGATATGTTACTGGAAAATCTGCCATTTCATCGTCATCGTACAGCAACTCGACTTGAAGTTCTAGAGAAACTGCAGAGAAATACAACACATCATGTTGTCTCAAAGTCAGCTGACAACAACATGTTCGAATATTTTCCCCCTGAGATTCTGCTTGGCCACATTTGTGTCCAGTCTCCTATAGTTAATCTGTTACAAATATTTCTGGTTCACCAGTGTTCATTTAGGTTCCAGTTCTCATTTCAGTCATTTGCAACATTTTGGGGACATTCCCCATTGATTCTGAAACTCCACGGTACTAGCCACCCCCCTCCCATGGAAAAATTCTGCCCTGCCCCTGATTTGTAGAAATGCCACTGAGAATCATGGTCTCTTAGCAGGTCTACTAAAAGCTCTTTTTGATTGTCAGCCAATGAGATTTAAACAGAAGAACTCTGAGTTCATACTGAGTGACCCAAGGTTTGTGAATTGCTGACTTAAAAATTGGACCCTATCAGAGGTTGTGATTCTTGGAGTTGGGGTTGAGAATGGGACTTGTGAGAGTACAACAATAAACTTAGTTTAAATACTTTTGGTCAGTCGATCAGCCTATTTGACTGGGGGGGGGGGGGGG